CCTCTGTGTTTTCAGCTCGTTAGCACTTTTTGTAGCCATATGTCCATTTTCCACTTACCCTTCTTGATATTGAGATACCATGTTGGACCAGTCAACTTCACCATGGTATTGGTGAGACACTCCAGATCGGAGAGTGGTATCTTGCAAACTTTTAAGGTCATATCAGCTCCACGGGTTGGTAGAGTCTGGAACAGATGTCGGAATTTAGGAAGGAAGGGAAGTATATCACTTGGATGACGCCTGCCGCCTAGTTTGCCGATTTCGAGAATCTGTACGGTGGGCGTGGGCCCTCCTCCAACCCCTTCCCGAACAACAATACCAGCCGTCCGATATCCATCCTGAGGAAAATTTAGAAATGAAGATCAGGTGATTAAGATGCTCAACGTACCTTTCTGTAAACCACCAGCCGCTTGGGCACAAAGAGACGCTTCCCAACAGGGGAGGCGAGCAACCCAACATACAGCTCACTTGTTAGCTTTCCGTACTCCATGGCTGCATTATGACAAGCCACGAGATCGATGTCGCAGATATCGCACGGTTCACGCTTAATCTTAGCCAAGCTGGCTTCTGATAGTTGAACCTGTTTCTCATGCTCTGGAAGCAAAGCCTGCGTGGCATTTTCACTAAAACTGCGCTTGATCATCTCTTCAATCCTCAAAGCCTCAACACGCAAGAGGTTCAGAATCATATTGTAAGTAAGCCTAAATTGGGATCGAAGCTTGGTTGGTTCACCGAGTATCATCTGCTTCAAAGCACCGGCAGGAGGCGCTTCGTCTTTACCAGTGCTAGTAATGATCACATAGCCGACTGTATCAAGGCCTCTTCGCCCAGCACGGCCAGCCATCTGGGTATATTCACCCGGTAGCAGGTTCCTGAAGCCTTTACCATCGTGTTTACGGAACCCCGAGAAAACCACTGTACGAGTGGGCAGATTCAGTCCCATAGCAAACGTCTCCGTGGCGAAAAGAACCTTAACCAATGATTTTGCAAACAGGATCTCAACAATCTCTTTCATAATGGGCAAGAGACCTCCATGATGAACAGCAATTCCTCTGCTTAGCAAGTCGCGAAGACGAAGTATCTGTGGGAGCGTCCTATCTTCGGGCTTCAGGCGGGTAAGTGACTTTTCGATAAACATATGGGTAAGACTTTTTTCCGATGCATTACAGAAATCCTGGTTTGAGAGTGAATCGGCATTCTCCTCGCATCTTTTCTTGGAGAACACGAAAATACAACCAGGGAGCAGATTTTCTTTGCGGAGATGTTGGACAAGTTGTACCCAGACAGTCTTATCCTGGGCAGCTGTTGTCCGTCCACCACCTCTTCCTGTACGAGCAATGTTCCCGGTACCCCTGTTAGCTGGCTGCCCTCTACCACGCTGAGCACCACCTCCGCGTTGGGCACCTCCACGCTGCGAATTGCCGCGAGGGCCCCCTCTGCCAGGAGCTTGGCCGCGCCCTCTTCCCTGCTGGCCACCTCTCTGAGCTTGGGACTGAGCCTGAGCCTCAGCAGCTTTTTGAGCTTTGATCTTATCTCTGCCAGAGATAATGTTATCTGCTTCTTTCCAACCGCCTTCGAGGAACCGCTTATTTGAGTCCACGATTTTGAACTTATCTTTACCAGCCCACAAGTAATGCTCGAGTGGAACAGGTCGCTTCGCAGTCGAAATAACATAGATATCCTTCTTCTTCGTGCGACCAACCCAAGAGGCAAATTCATAGGTGTTAGGGACCGTAGCAGATAGGAGAATCAGTGTGACATGTTCAGGAAGCATGATGATCACTTCTTCCCAAACGACACCTCTTTCGAGATCATTGACATAATGTACCTCATCAAAGATCACAAACTCGACATCTCTAATCAGATCTGCTCCACGGTAAAGCATACTTCGGAGGATTTCAGTGGTCATGATCAGGCAGCTTGCCTCTGGATTGATCTGGACATCACCTGTAAGGATACCAACATCGTCAAATGTAGTCCTAAAATCCCTAAACTTCTGATTACTGAGAGCCTTGATGGGCGATGTATAGATAGCCTTGGTCATATGCTTGGCAGCCAAAGCAATAGCATATTCAGCAACAACTGTCTTTCCAGCTGACGTATGCGCTGCGACAAAGACGGAATCACCGCTCTCCAAATGGTAGACAGCCTCTTTCTGGAAAGTGTCCAGTTCAAAGGGCCATTCCCTAGCCATATCCGGCACAAGCTCGCTGAAATTGGGAATATCTTTGTTAACATCCACAACGTGAGCCCATTCCCTGCCACCCTTCTTCTGGACAGCTGATAACAGAGGAGCACGGGGTTCCAGTGCGGGGAACTCAACCGGCAGTAATGAATCTATATCCTCCTCATCTCCGCTCAGCTCGTCGTCTTCAATCTTCACTCCTCCAACATCTGAAGCCGTGTCGTCCTTTTCAACTGGGAGATCAGCTTCCTCCTGCTGGAGGACATGTTCGACTTCTTGATCATTTTCAGCAGCTTCTTTGGATTTTGCTACCTCGAATTTGAGGCCACGACTGAACCCTGGAGCGACTTCTAGGAGGCCACCCTCAGCGCCGAAGTTAATGATCCGGTCAAGGCCAGATTGCTTGCCACCTGGTCTCGAGCTATCTGTTGCCTGGGCTTCAGATTCCAATTCAGCGATAGCCTCAACACCATCAAGTCCACCTGGCGCGAAGGGAAAGAACCCAGCGGCGCCCCTAACGAAATCTGCGCGACCAGCTGGTCGACGAAGCAGAGATGTTGAGTTCTTTGCATTTGCACTGGTGGCAGGAACCGTAACTTCATGGTAGCCAGTAACACGCCCTTCTAGGCCTTCACGGTCGAAACGAACAATAGTTCGTGTTTGGGTCGGTGCGACCTCAAAAAGATCCTTGTAGTCTGTCGACACATCCCATCGTCTGCAGAACTGTCAGCGGACGGAAGGGCCAGGGTGGGACATCGAACAAAAGATGACATATGGCAAGTGGTGTCTCAAACCTTTGTAAACGATTCAGCCACTCGGGGCTAAATTGAGATGATGGCGTAAGGAAGTCGGCCTCGAGCTCTTTAATAAGATCTTCGGCATTTTGGCGGGCTCTTGGCCGAGGACCCCGATTCTGATATTGGCCACTTTGTTCTTCTGCAAGTCGCTCATCAAAAGCTGACCCGCTAAGACCCTGTGCACTCAGGTTAAGCTCAGCGAGAGTCGCAGCGAGAGCTTCTGTTTGCGCCATTGGGGGACGGTAGAAGTGACTGTCCCAGAAATGCCTATCTGAGGAGCTGGTAAGTTCTGGACCGTATTGGTTCCCAACAATCGTTTAAATATTGCGTTAGGCACAAATTGGTTGTAAGTAGCTGCTATTGTAGTGGAGCAACGTACTGTCACCGGTGCCTGCAATATTTACCAAGAATGTTCAAGCATTCACAGGTTGAGGTGCGAAGAAAGAAAGGTACCTCATTCGTTGGCGGTGTTTAGCGGCGGAACACACAAACGCTGACGTCGTGTGGGGACATTAATGGATTTTAGGCCAAACCCATGTCTACTCTTCGGACTACATATCGATCTGGTAGACATATTTAGTATAAAATGGGTACAAAACCCTTGCTACCCTCTTTTAGTATTTGCTGGCAATTTTTTGTTGGTCAATTTTGGATTTTCTTTTTTTTCCTTTTCTCCTCCATAGTGGGGTACATACAGTAAGTCGGACAGGCCTACTCAGTAAGTGGATTTTAATGCCCACCTCTATGCAATTTTAAAAATTTCTCCAATTTGTCCAACAGATTGGCTACGCAGTAGCATTGTATCTAGATATTTCAGAGGGAGATATTCTTTCTAACTAAAAGCTAACCTTGACATGCATGGCAATACGGCACGGCACGTATACAACCAGAGCCACCCAAACAGTAGCTGAAAGAATGGTATTGTTCTACCCGTCCCTAACCCTGTTACACATCCCTGAGGATGAAGATGGAAAACATACGATATTAGCTCTACTTGGCAGAAAGAAATACGGAGGTAACCGTAAATGTACTCAAGTCCACATCGGCGAGCTTATTAAGCATGCATGAGATCTCAAGATCATCTTACTAACAACTTGGTGGAATATGATCAAGTAGCTAAATAGTGTTCACAGGGAGAGCTAAGTCGAACAGAATGTGTAGGCGAAGCAATAGCAGATCTACTAAGAGTACTCTGAATCAACCAGCATGGGTACTATCAAAAATCCAGAACGAACTATAGAAGCCTCGTATAGGTGAAGGATCATGATATTACCTCAACCTGAGGCAGCAACACCTAGCTACTAGTGCTAGTAGATTTAGGTAGTTGATCATGTGCAGTCAATATTACTCCATACTTTGCAAATCAAAGAAAGTTGTAAGAATTTAGTACTAGTATTCTTGTGTCGTTCTTTGTATTTAACCATTAGGATAGAAAAGAAGACAAAAAAGACCACAAATAGAAAAAGAAAAAGAAATTTACCTCGACTACCGCGTGCGTCCAAATTCAAATCGAACTAAACAATTCAAAGATAAAAAAAAAGCTCCTTTAGTAGAAGGGAATGCTTGGACTCCGAGTCCGGACTTGACGCTGTCGACCGCATTCCCCGGATCGACCGCCAAAAGCCTTTGTGTCAAGTCTTACGTCATCCGCCCATGACTCCCGCCGAAAGTCATGATCGCACTGGAGTACAAGGTTATCAAGTAAGAGCGGTGATCTCTTACTACTTAGGCTGAGAGCTCAAGCTTAACTACATCGAGCTATCGCTTCCTACCCAACTGTTTGAAACATTCTCATACGAATAACTCGGCATACCATTCTCCGATTGCGTTCGTACCACTCCTCTACTTCCACGTTGACGACTCAGCGGCCTTATCCCTTTCAGCTCTCCAACTGTGTTCACCTTCCCTGTGGTTCGCCTCTATAGCGACCCTCCCCTCCGTCATTCTCGCAACGCCGCTACCACATGGGAACCAATACATCCAACGATGTCACCTTAGTCTAGCCTCGACCTCTCACCATGACTACGGATTCTGCGCTTTCGTTGGTCTTTCCCCATCCAACGAGTATGATGTATACCTATGTTCCGCCGTCTACTAACGCGCTGCACTGCGATTCTAGGTACCATTCGACCGAGTCTCTAATCCTTCCGAAAAAGCGACGCTTCTTTCCCTTTAAGATCCCAAATTTGTCAGTGTCCTAGACTTAGCGCAACTCGGTCGCACGCTTGACTTGAACTAACGACCATTTAGCCATCAACAACTGCGAAACTATATCAGCACCGCTGACCCCGATAGGATTTACGTTGTCGTCGACAGAGTCATATATATAATTCACATATCATCGCAAAAACGAGAGACTCTAGCTGTTATCCCGTTCGAACCGAAATGTCTTGCTGCGGGTTACGGTTGGATCGCGGTTGGAGGTTCAGACAATGGTGAATGTGCTTTAATCAGGATTTCCGACCGGGGAGTGCGTGTACAGGAGGATACATCAACTTCTGAACCTTTAGATGTTGACAGTGCCTTGCCGATTGATCTTGGTGCGCCTACAAGAATCTCCCAATCCTGGTTTTCTGGCGACGAACCGGATTCAATACAGGAAGCCGACCACGTGCAGCTGCCGGGTGTCCAGCTGCATAAGTTTGGTGGCAGCATCGTGAACTCCGTGACTATCCACCGGCTACCTGGTGATGGAAAAGGCTTAGCGGATGAGGACATCATCATTCTCAGGTATTGCGGTCACATCCTACCGTCAAACCACTGACATGCTGATGAAACCTGCCAGTAATAATGACAAGTCGGTCACCGTTTATTCTCTAACCCGTTCGAAGGTTCTCAAGGTCCTCAATCACCCAGCATGCATGAATTATGCGATCGTCTCACCAGACTCTACCATCCTGGCTGCAGTTGGTGATGAAACCCGCGCGTATTTCTACGATATTACCCGCGACTTCGATACAACCGTCCTAACAACGAACGGTGAAAAGCTTACAGGCTGGAACTGGGATCCTCTCCGTTCCATTGAAATGGATATCGGTACTCGGATCGATGATGGTTGCTGTTTTACTGTTGCATTCTCCCAGTTTAGTCGACTGTGTGCCATTGGGTCTCAATCCGGGGTTATCACTGTTTTTGATGTTAAAACGCTTCGGGATATTACCCATGAACCAAATGAGAAGAGCTCGATAATATGTCATTTCAATTCTTCAAGGCTTTGTTGCAATGGTGGTGCTGTGCGCTGTATGACTTTTGCGCCCGAGCCTTGGGACCTCTTAGTGTGGCTCGAAGACAAGGGCCGGGCTGGAATTGCAGATGTCCGCCAGGGTTTTCTACGCAGGCAGATCATCCATCTGGACAGGAATGATCCTGAGATCGAGGAAATTCGTACTGAGCCCATCTTGGACGAATCGGTGGGTTTAGAACTTGAAACTGATGGCCGGTCCAGCCCAGGATCCAGAGCAGATGCAGGACAGCGGGCCGCCCTGGGATCCATCGACACTCCGCCAAATGAATTGGGTGGGGAAGCGTCCGACAATCCACCATTGCGTGATGCTCTGTTACAGGATCTCACCGAAAGGGAGAGGTTAATCGTAGAGTTTCTGAACACAGCTCGCTGGACCTCAAGGCTGGAAGAGGGTTTAGCAGAGAGGCGAGCCAGAGCCAATGCTCCTCCGCATCCTGCACCCCGTTTGCGCTTCCAAGGTTCCACAGATGTGTCCAATCGTACTTCTCGTCCCACTTCGCCCCTTCGCCATGGGGATTCGCTCCAGGACACGCCGCGGGACGGCTCCTCAGCGCAGCCAGGAGCCAGCGAACGCAGACACAATGCTAGACGTCAAGCTTCTGTTATCCTATCCCAGGGCAACCCCGAAACACTCAATCGAACTCCGGAGGCGGGCGGCTCAAACATAGAACCGCAGCCAAGCATTACACTCAGTTGGACTGCTTCACCGTCCGAGATACAATCGATCGTATCCGACACTCGTCAGCGTGCTGCAGACTCGTCGAGCGATCAGAGTAGTTCTAGTGGTAACGAAGCGGGCGTAGGAAATCGAAGTTATGGGACTTTGGGGCGCCCGTCCGCCACTTTGGACTACTCCACGGCCCCTGTAGAGTCAATACCACGGCCACGGGACCATCAGCGATCCCGTTCCGGGCACAGACATACTGAGAGACAAGACAACCCGACTGGTACCCGACACGAACCTCTACGTGTATCAAATACAGAACTGCGAACCAACGTGGCGGCAGAGCGCCTTCGACGACAAAGACAAGTGGTCAATGAAACACATACCCGAAACCACCCGCGGTATCGGCAGCAAATATTAGGCATTGACAACAGCCGCTCTCCTCGCTGGATCAGGAGTATCTTAAACGAGCTTCCAGACCGCAGTTTGGGAGTTGGACACAGAGACCAGGAGCCAGGGAGTACTGCTGGAATTGGGTGGGGTGCAGACGGCAGAACATTGTAGGTTTCCGGCGTACATTGACGATGACAATACTGACTTGCATAGGTACGTCGCAACTGTCGATGGTATATTCGAATACCAGCTTAACATTGGGGACCGGAAGACATTCCCCGTTGTCAATTACCGCTAGAACAACATCCTGTTTCAAGGTCTTCTTGCGCAGCTAGGCTATGACTTTTCACTTCCAAACTTGACGTCGCTTAATGTTGAATTAATATGATCCGGTAACCTTTCTGTGAAAGGATTCATGGTGGCAACGGGAGAGGAGTATAGTTGACAGTGTTGGTGTTCAGTTTGTTATTATTTCCTCCGTCTTCGAGTTTGGGCTTGATGTGCGATCTCTCGCATCATGATATCTTGGAGATACCATTTTTTTTTACATTCGCTTCTTTCTCTTCCTCTTCCTTCTTTCCTTTACTCGCCAAGTTTACTTCATCTCCTAGCTCAGTTAAGGAGTCGCTCTACTCGCTATCTTCAGAGGCATCCATTTGTGCATAGTTGATTCATTTGTCTCGTTGCATTTGGTTTCAGGAGTTTGGGAAAGGAGATGGGTCGCAGTATATGCAAGGATAGTTATAGTTCTATGTCAAAAGTTTCCGTGCATCTGCTCGATTTGTGCGATGTGAAAGATGGTCAAAGTAATTGCGTCCTGACCTCTAGCAGGCGGTAGACTTTTGACCTGGAGGTATACGAAAGATGGCCCTACTGGGAACATTGTAGGTATTGTTCACATCCAAAGTTAAAATATAATCGGAGGGCACTGTTCCATCGATAACTGGCCCCCTAGGAAGAAATAGCGCACATCCTCAGCAGTGTCAAATTAAGGCTCTTACTTAGATGGATCGTATTCCTAAGGTATACGGCAATGCTAACCAACACTCGTCGCCACTTGTGCGAGGCATTTCACATTCTAACAGTTCAATGTCGACATATCTGGAATTTATTCTCTAGGGAGGCGACTTTGACTTCATTGAGGCAAGAAGCATCATTGGTTTCCTACAGTTAGAAGTGTCGTCTATAGACTTTCTTGTCTTTGTGCTCTCATTGTATGTTTAGGTATACTATGATGCTGTAAAAAACGTAGCACTACTCGTCAATACTTCCCTTTTGTTATTTTATCGTTTTCTTACATTTGTGCTGTGCAAACAAAGAGGAATAGGGGTCGCGTTATCGAAAACAGCATGGGTGTATCTGGTACTTTCTGGTTGGCTTGACTTGAAATAAAACCGTCCCCGTTCTCTAGTATATATATACACGCCTGAGGCGAGTTTGTTTTGTACACTCGACGGTGTCTCTGCGCCTAGAAGAGACAATTCGACTCCATTGAATCAGAGTGAGACGCATTATTTCAATGACGAGGTCTACTAGACAATAGGTGTTTGGTAAGTCCTAAATGATACGAGTGTTGGGTTGTTGAGATACTTCTAGAAACAGCTAGCGTTTACGATGGATGCATCACAGGGGCGGGTAGATAAGATATAGAAGCCGCAAAAAAAAGAAAAAAAAAAAAAGGAAAAAAAAGAAAAGGCCAAGAATGCGGCGGCATTGCTGCGGTATTCCAAAAGGAGAACGGTGAAAAGGAAAACAAAGAAAATAGACTGAAAGGCAAGGAAACAAAAGAAGTAGGAAATTTCCTCGGCTTTGCTTCTTTGGTATGTATGTACATACCAGGTGGCCAATGTACAGTACCAATATGGTACCAATATGTCGCCACCCTACGGAGTACATAATAACAGTAGTTCCATTCGGGAGATTGGGAGAATGATAAAGACACGTTCTAGGCTAGTTAAGAAGGCGATCTGATCAGATAAAAACGAATCAATTCGATTTGGTACTGGCTCAATCTCTATAATCTGTATCCCATCCTCAGGTAGCATTCTGCTATATCCACTCCGTATAGTGACAGCAAAAAAGAAAAATAGAGCTCCACCATATGAGCAATTGATCTTATAGTTGTAGAGACCCCCTTGTATAGTCTACAAATCAAGACTAAGCCAAAAATGAACCCTTAAACCGTCTAGGATATGGAATTAAAAGATCCATATTGACTCGGACGAAGGCCTCCACAGCTTAGCTATTACGGAGTCTTCCTACTAACTCCGTAGTGTCACAACGGGTAGGAATGGGACTCTCTCCGGCGGGAAACACAGCTCTCGCGGGTGGCGATGCCGATTGGCTCGGTTACCCAGGCGGTCTAAAGGCAGTCCGGTTACTCATTGGGTGGCCAGCTACGTTGCTGTGATTCTACCAACTTCGACGACGGGCCGAAGCTCTCCGTGACAATTTTTACTACTGCCGGTCTCCCTTCTTTTTATGTTTCCTTCTCCCCCGGAAAAGACTTGAAAACCATCATCTCCTTTTAATCACTCCTCACCCTCTCAACCTACCCTTTTCTCTCTCATCCACACCTCATCACTCCCTTCGATTGAGTCGACTGGAGTTTCCTATATTTTCTTTTAATTTGTGTATTATTTATCTTCTTTAATTCTCAATCACAATGTTGCCTTCGCGTATCACCCGCGCGGTATGTGTTTTCTTCCCAACGAACAGACCTTCGCATAATGCATTCGAGATCGAAACTGACTTGGCTTTTAATGCAATAGCTCCCGCGCACTGCTTTCACCCGCGCCGCCGGTCTCAGAGTCCCCAGCACATCCTTCCGGAGATGGAACTCGACAGAGGGTGGTGAGGAGAAGGTGAAGGGCCAGGTCATCGGTATTGACTTGGGTATGTTCCGTCCAGACAAGACCAATTCATCAAAACAAGCATCTAATGCGTCTCTTTAGGTACCACCAACTCTGCTGTCGCTGTCATGGAGGGAAAGACCCCCAAGATCATCGAGAACGCTGAAGGTACGTGAAAATTTTTTTCGTTTCCGGGAGCTCGGCATATGATTGGTGAGCTCTGCGGCTAACATAAAATTCAAAGGTGCCCGCACAACTCCTTCCGTTGTCGGTTTCGCTCAGGATGGCGAGCGTCTCGTTGGTATCGCTGCCAAGCGTCAGGCTGTTGTCAACCCCGAGAACACTCTTTTCGCCACCAAGCGTCTCATCGGTCGCAAGTTTACCGATGCTGAGGTTCAGCGTGACATTAAGGAGGTTCCCTACAAGATCGTTCAGCACGACAACGGCGATGCCTGGGTTGAGGCTCGTGGCCAGAAGTACTCTCCCTCTCAGATTGGTGGTTTCGTTCTCAACAAGATGAAGGAGACTGCCGAGAACTACCTCAGCAAGCCCGTCAAGAACGCCGTCGTCACTGTTCCCGCCTACTTCAACGACTCCCAGCGTCAGGCTACCAAGGATGCCGGTCAGATCGCTGGTCTTAACGTCCTCCGTGTCGTCAACGAGCCTACCGCTGCTGCCCTTGCCTATGGTCTGGAGAAGGAGGCTGACCGTGTCGTCGCTGTCTACGATCTTGGTGGTGGTACCTTCGATATCTCCGTTCTGGAGATCCAGAAGGGTGTCTTCGAGGTCAAGTCTACCAACGGTGACACTCACCTCGGTGGTGAGGACTTCGATATCAACCTTGTTCGCCACATCGTCCAGGAGTTCAAGAAGGAGTCTGGCCTCGATCTCTCCGGCGACCGCATGGCTATCCAGCGTATCCGTGAGGCCGCTGAGAAGGCTAAGATCGAACTTTCTTCTTCTCTCCAGACCGAGATCAACCTTCCTTTCATCACTGCTGATGCCAGCGGTGCTAAGCACATCAACCTCAAGATGACTCGTTCCAACCTCGAGTCTCTGGTTGACCCTCTCATCAGCCGCACTGTTGAGCCCGTTCGCAAGGCCCTGAAGGATGCCAACCTCCAGGCCAGCGAGATCCAGGATGTCATCCTGGTCGGTGGTATGACCCGTATGCCCAAGGTCACCGAGTCCGTTAAGTCCATCTTCGGTCGTGAGCCCGCCAAGTCTGTCAACCCTGATGAGGCTGTTGCCATTGGTGCCGCTATCCAGGGTGCTGTCCTTGCTGGTGAGGTCACCGACGTCCTTCTCCTTGATGTCACCCCTCTGTCCCTCGGTATCGAGACCCTCGGTGGTGTCTTCACTCGTCTGATCAACCGCAACACCACCATCCCCACCAAGAAGTCCCAGACCTTCTCTACCGCTGCCGACTACCAGACCGCTGTCGAGATCAAGGTCTTCCAGGGTGAGCGTGAGCTCGTCAAGGACAACAAGCTTCTCGGAAACTTCCAGCTTGTTGGCATCCCCCCTGCCCACCGTGGTGTTCCTCAGATTGAGGTCACCTTTGACATCGATGCCGACAGCATCGTCCACGTCCACGCCAAGGACAAGTCCACCAACAAGGACCAGTCCATCACCATCGCCTCCGGCTCTGGTCTCTCTGACAATGAGATCCAGTCCATGGTTGAGGATGCTGAGAAGTACGGTGCTCAGGACAAGGAGCGCAAGGCTGCCATCGAGGCTGCCAACCGTGCCGACAGCGTCTTGAACGACACCGAGAAGGCTCTCAAGGAGTTCGAGGACCGCCTTGACAAGGCCGAGGCTGAGCAGATCCGTGAGAAGATCACCGCTCTCCGTGAGTTCGTTGTCAAGAACCAGTCCGGCGAGGGCACCGCCACTGCTGAGGAGCTCAAGCAGAAGACCGATGAGCTCCAGAACGCCAGCTTGACCCTCTTCGACAAGATGCACAAGCTAACGCCGAGCAGCAGCAGTCTCAGTCTGGCGAGGCCAACCAGGGCGAGAACAAGGCCTAAATGTACCACAACTGATTGGCCCTGTCCCTGCAAAGGTTCAGGGTTGTTTGTTTCCCTGTACCCCTCTCCTATATCCTCTTTCTTGTCTCATCTAGAGATTTCTCTCTTCACCATTGTTTTAACACGCATATGATATGTATACATACCAATAGTTTTTGATTTCTATGCCCTCTGCTCGGTGTATGGGTGTTTGTTTTCTTCTCGTTTGTACTGGAACCGGTTGCCTTCATACCTTTTAGGGTCGGATGAGCATACTTGAAATGTTTCTTTTGCTGTTTGTTGGGAGGCAGTCCTTGACGGATTCGAGGACTGTCTACACTTGTAACTTTAATGACATTTAACGGCTGGGGACCACGAAAAAAGGGTTTATCCGGAGCATGTGTTAATAGAACAGGAAATTCTCCTCTCGATTCAACAAAGTTTTACTTTTTTTTTATTTCTTCCCGATCTTGAGTAGGCAGCTTCGGCAGCGTTTTACGATGAAACTAAGGTTGTCTGAACTGGATAGCTTCCTTGTGTCCCAAACAGCGAGAGTCGTAGCCCACAATTTCCCTGCCCCATCTGCATTCTGGTCCGAATTCTCCAAGTGGGCCGAGGGTGCGCGCGTTCAACGGAGTAGTGTATCCTTGATGATGACCAGTGTCGCCGCTATTTTCTCTCTCATTTCTTTTTCATTTCCTTGTTAGTTTAGAGTACCTGCTGCATTCGGGGTTGGCTATTCCTCTGGGTTTCCTTTTCGTGTTTCTCTAAATCAAGGATTTATCCACCCCATGCTAGCCAACTGTCCCTACATACAGATAGATACATAGTACAGAAAAATAATGTACACAGTACAT